TTCTTTGCATCATCTAGCAGCTGTTGGATTGATTTCTCATGGTCCCTTACTGTCTTTAAGAAATCTCTGTTTTCATGGTCCTTAACTGCAATCCTGTCTTCTGTATCTGATATTCTGTCTTCAGATTCTCTTAGTCTGCTCTGCATGGTTTCAATGGAGTTTTTAATCTCTTGAATATCTGTTTGAATCTTTTTCATGGATTCCATTTCTTTCTTATGCTGAGCAGTTTTGGCTTTGAGCATGTTTCTGATTTCTTCTATTTTCTTATCTGTTTCTACTCTAGAGCTTCTAATCATGTCTTTCATTCTGTTCACCATGTCTGTATTTATCTGGGAGATTATTTCTGCTTTGAATTTTTCTAGAGCCTCATGTGTCTGCTTTATTACTTCCTGTGCTATCAGTTCAGGGTGTTCAAGTGGTTGCTTGTCAGACTTTTCCACCGCATTGCCCCCAGAATTTCCTTTTTGTGGCGTCTAAGCCTGCGCTTGTGGCTTGCTTTAGTGTCTTCTCATTCTTGTTTTTGGTACTGTCCTTGGTTTAATTCCTGGGTTGATATTTCAAAATTGCTTAATGTAGGTATCTTTATTGATTGTGTTTAGAACCAAGGGGAATGATTTCTTTTCAGAGGTGTCTTCTAGATATAGCTTGTGTTTGGCTATTTTATTTTCCTTATTACCACGTAGGAAAATGACTCTGAGGCTATTTTATTTTCCTTATACCAGGAAGGAAAACTAATTAGATCAATCACAACATGTTAACCCAAAAGACATAGTCAGTAATACCATAGCATTAAGCACAGCTTAGAAAATGACAATTTGTGGTAGTTATTAATCTATCAATTTTAACTATGTGAGTTAAATTAAAACTGAGGACCAACCTAACATAAGTTTATAATGAATAAGCTCTTCAATATAGCATCTTTCCCCTTCGGGTGGGGAGTTAAAAGGAGTTGGGGATGGAGGGACAGGTAGAAAGAACAGGTAAGATCAGAGGTGAGCCCCGAAGACGCAGAAAGATCACACAAACTCTAAGAAGTTGTTAAAGGCAAGATAAAATGGCAGAATTAAAGAACAAAGATGTGAATAGAATCACCTAAGAGCAACAGGGAGGCTAGATACCGAATTTAGTTTCCTTTAAACCTAATGATAATCAATTGAAGGAAAAAGAGAAGAAAAAAACAATAAGGGAGAAATCCGAATTCAGTGCAGAAAGGAACAAATGGGGAGATGAGGAGCAATGTGGGACAGCAAGAGAATGAGTGAGAGAGAGGGAAAAAAAAGATAACAGAAACAAAAGTAAAACTTTGAA